GACCAGCGGCGACAACAGCCGACAACGCAACCGCCAGAGCCTCTAACGGAGCGAGGTCTATTGCAATTTACACTAAGACAGCGCCGCCCATGGCTATTTCCACCAAGACAACGCCGCCGCCTGTGTGTGGTCTCTGTGTGTGTGATCTCTGTGTGTGTGTGTGTTGTCTCGGTGTGTGTTGTCTCTGTATGTGTTGTCTCGGTGTGTGTTGTCTCGGTGTGTGTGTTGTCTCGGTGTGTGTGGTCTCTGTGTGTGTGTGTTGCCTCGGTGTGTGTGGTCTCTGTATGTGTTGTCTCGGTGTGGAGGGAGGAGGCGGCGGGAAGCGGGATGAGACATAGAAAAGAAGAACCCCACACTAAGATGTGGGGAAGAAAGGGAAGCACTGGTTGGGCTGGTTGGGTTCTTCAACGCTTTCAGAAAACTCAGCAAAAGGAAAGATAGACAGATAGACAAAACCTCGACTCAGCGGTTGCTTGCTTGAACCATGCATGTCTTTCAGTCCGACTTCCCCGCCTGCTTCACATGCGTGTCCTGGAGATGACACGGGTCCCCATCGTACCCGATTGGAAAGAGAAGCGATGGCACCGCAGGTTGGCGCTTTGGTGTGCAAGTCTGCTGGAACAACTTCTTAGACAAGCGAATCACAGACTCTTCGTCTTTGGGCGTAAGCATGGGTGCAGGGCCTGGCTGCAGGGCGTGAGTGACCAAAAAATGAGGAGAGTCCACCGATCCGGCCAAGAGAACCTACTTAAAGATTGCATCTGCCGGTCCAAATGCAATGAACTAAAAAGGTGTTGATAGCTGCTCCAAAGTCAAAATGCACTCCATCACTCTACTCACAAGAACCTTCATCAACACCAATGTCTGAACCTGCATGTGTCTCAAAGCTCCTACGTTCCACCCCCATTCCACCGACCTTTCACGATCCAACCAGACCCACGCTCGACGGGTCCGGCAGATCAGCACGAGTACAGCATTCCTCATCCGTGCTGCCTGGGCCTAGGAGCTCAGCTGGGGTGAGCCGGTCGCAGGATCCGCTTTCGACGAAACCAAAGGTCGCACAACTCGAGAGACTGCTCACGAGGATGTGGCTCCAAGCGAAAACGGATGAAAACTGATGGGTCTAATTTTTGAAACAGCCCTGGATCCTTGCCGCACCCACTTGGGGACCTTTCCCTAAAAGCCACCTCCCTAGAACTGCGCCAGGTGTTTCATTAAGCACACCCAGCAGGCGAGGGGCGCGTCTCCGGCGCAGGCTTCTTCACCCAGCCAGCACCCACGCAGCAGTAGTCCGTGCACCAGAGCTGATCATAGCACTCCTCAGCCCACACGACCCGCAAGAAGTTCACCGCGTCGTTCGACCCAGGTCGGACCACGAAGGCCCCATTCGGCGTTAAGAAGGCGAGACCAAGAGTGTCATGGCGCCTGGTTTCTGTTGAGAACAAAACCTCCACTTTCGTGGAACACTGGCCAAGAGAGACATCCACAGCTCAATGGTCTAAAATCTGGTACGATCCATGCCAATGACACGAGGTGCAGGAGACGGGGTCACGAGACCCCGCTTCCACCTTCTGGAGTCTCAGGCGGTTTCAGTTGCAGCCAGGCAACCACGTCCGTGCTGCCCTGGACATCCTTCTGAGGTTTCCTCTTCCACCTGGTCATGAGAGCCGAGATCCATGCAGTGTTGCTGGCAGTCATTTTGTTGGTATCTTCCAAAGGTCTCAGATTCCTTCCCTTGCTTGGTGGGACATGTCCGTTTATCTGGCACATGTCCATCTACATGAGTCAAGAAGCTGTGTAGGAGTGGACGTGGTGTACTGGCTGCAGTACTTGGGCAAGCAGCACTCCTGGCACTTCGGCTGGGCCAAAGGTCGTCGCAGTACTTGTCACGAATTTGTCTGATCATCCTGAATCATCTTCACATGGGGAGGGGAGGATAACTCTCTTCCACTACTTGCTACAGAAAACCAGAACAAAGACTTGCTCTGTAGGAAGGCAAGGAAACCGTGACAATGGCCCAGCTTCTTTTTCCGAAACAATGTTGATATGTGTTGATGGTTCAACCGGCCACCACTGTGTCCATCCGACTTGTGGATCATCCGACTAGCGGGACGAAACCGGCGAAATCCTCTCGGGCAAGTCGCTCATAGGAACGCGAGTCCCCACTTGGGGAGAACGGCTTTTTCAGGTTTTGGGAATGGAATGTTCACCTTTCTTCCGACTTGCTTTCGCGCATTCAAAGACATTTCTCTCCCATCCCTTACATGACTCCATAAAAATGCAAAACGTGACATATAACCATTTCAAGGGGCACCCATCTCAGGAGTTGCAGGTCTTAGCGGTCTTTTGCAGGTCGGGAGTCCCTTTTCACTTGCGCATCAACTGAGTAAGGCCAAAACTCCCGCTCCTCGTTGGTGCTGCCCTGCCACTTGTACCTCAGAGCCGCTTCTGTGTCAGTTAGGCAATTAGGAAGGTGCGAATCTCATCACAACTCTGGTTTAGCGTTGGAGCATGGGCTCCAGCAGGTGACCAGCAGCCAGCAGCGACCATTCTTCGGAACGGGATCGCATGGACCCCAGCGAACATACTCAGCGGCCAAGACACGTGTTGGTGTCCACCCTCTTGTACCACATGGTGCCATCGCCATCCCCATCGTCATCCGTGTCACAGGTGAAGTTGGCGCCTGTTTTCGACGAAGGCATAAGACCTGAGGGCCTTGTAGACATCCAGCTACAATGCTCATGGGGATGGTAAACTCTGAGCTCTTGGAGACTTTAAAAGTCAACCTCAATCATCTTAACACGAAGTGTCTCACTTGTACCTTTATGGAAACAACTGTGGCGACCAAGGCGCAGTAAACCGGCTCGCAGCATTCTCGCATGCTGCTACCCAGGATCTCCTCCACGTTTTTCTTGGGCTTCCAACTGGTGCTAGGACTGCCTGGGCATCAGCACCCGGAAAGGAAATTCTAGCTCTGGTCCACTATTGCTACTTGCAACTGGCCAAACAAGAAAGGAACAGTTCAATCAATCCGACTTCAATTATTGGCTCCGTCCCTCGAACAAACAGCGTCGGCACGAATCAAGACCCTGCTTTCTGCAGGAAGTTCTCATCTTTCCGCACCTTGCAAAGATTCATGCTTCCTTGACCAAACGATCCAACCAAACCGTCGTCAAAGTCCCACAAATAATCAACCGAACCTTTAGTTTTGGGATGTTCTTTTTTGGGGGGTCGACTCCGTGAGCCTTTCCCCATGTTTTTTGACTTCGGCAGACTTCGCCCAGGTACAGATCTCTGCACGGCACAGGATCTTCTCACAGCACTCCTCGTCGGAGCTCCCCCGGCGATCCAGGTTGGTCACACCGAGCCTCAGCCGTTGGAGAGCGACTGGAGCTCTGTGGCGGCCAGCCGGCAGCCGTTGGGCAGACGATGAAAAAGCTCTAGGCACGTTCCAAAGATCCAACAAATGTTCACCAGAAGCTTGTGTTTCAGTCAAACTTCCTCGGATGTCCTTGTCAGGTACTGTAAGACGTGACTGATGTGATCCTTCCGCAAGCATGAACCCTTCGAAACCTTTGATTGAAAGCATCTTGGAGATCCAAAAGGCAGCCAGCCTGCACCTCCAACTCCAACCAAATCACCCCAAATTCACCCCAAAAAAATCTTTGGGTCCGGATCCACCTGGGTGGCTCTGGTGGTACAGAATTCGTCCATGCAGTGGAGCTCCACCTGACCAGATCTCAGAGCCCAGCTGATCCGAGATGTGGATCCACCTGACGGTCGCCGGACCAACCGGCAGAGTCGTCGTTGGTTGTGTACTGTACCGCCCAGAAAGGCGCAAAGTTTGAAATGGTTGCTTTTTTGTAGGCCTTTTCCAACAATGGTCTTTGGCCCATGGCATTTGAGCCAGGAGCTTAATGTGGCCCTCAGATTTACAAACCCCCCTAGAATAATGTCTTTTTTTTTTCCCTGCACTGATTTATAAAGGCCCCTAGAATAATGTCTTTTTTTGGGGGCAGGGGTAGTTGTAGTGGAATATTTTTTTGTTATAGTTTACTTTTTCCCTTTTGATATGCTTTACTCACCCTCTATTCCTTATTAACTTTTCCTAAGCTCTTTAGTTTTGAAGCTTTCCAAAAGTTTCCAAAAGTCAGTGCGGACTTTCTTTATAAAATCCCTTATTCAAAAGTATTGAAAAACAAAATAATAATTCAAGCACAGGGGGTAGTCCAGCAAGCAGCTTTCTGACATTATTTAGGGGGGCCCCTAGAATAATGTCTAGAGATTTGAGGCTTTAAATCTTTATTCCTTTTCTTTGCCTTTTGATTTGCTTTACTCACCCTCTATTCCTTATTTACTTGTCCTAAGCTCTTTAGTTTTGAAGCTTTCCAAAAGTTTCCAAAAGTCAGCCCGCACTTTCTTTATAAAATCCCTTATTCAAAAGTATTGAAAAACAAAAAAAACATTCAAGCAAAGGGGGTAGTCCAGCAAGCAGCTTTCTGACATTATTTAGGGGGGCCCCTAGAATAATGTCTAGAGATTTGAGGCTTTGAATCTTTATTCCGTTTCTTTGCCTTTTGATTTGCTTTACTTACCATTGAAATTGCAGGTCTTTGGATTCAGATTTCCATTGAAATTTAAAAAGTTAGTTCTATTTCCATTGATTCATTCCCTTTTATTGTAATTAATATTCCAGATGTCTTCAAAATTAGGTTTCTTGATTCCTTTTATTTTAATATTGCCAGAGTAGCTCCAGAGGTAGCTAGCTAAGGATTCCTTATTTAATTATCAATTGATTGCTTTTCTTATACATTATTTTGGAGGCCTTGGTTGTTGAGGGGGGGGGGGTTTATAAATCAAGGGACTACATTAGGGGGGCTGTGATGGGGATGGCGAGGATGGGATCTTTTTGCACGCGCTGGTCACAAAACGTGGCGGGCCAAGAGTGCCCTGGCAGTATTGGTGGTCGAAGCTCATAGGTGCAGTTGGCACATCTCCACCTGGTGTGAACGTCTCATGAAACTCAACCAACACCGTCCCTGGCGCACCGGCCACCACCCAACGGTCGGGGTGCATTTCTTTCAGCACCACACAACGTCCGCGAAACGCGCGCGATCGTTGTCGCGCGGGGAGTTTGACACCAAAGGACTTGCTGGAGTCCCTGCACTTGTAATCCTTGCAAAACTTCAACTCGCAGCACTCCTCTGCGAAGCTCACATGAAGCTATAGCGTCATGGCTTGCTCCGCCGGGTGTTGTGTGCCCACGAAACGTGGAGGAATGGACTCCCAAAACATCCAAGACAAGCAAGATTGTAGTAGGGGGAAAGGTCAGAGAGATAGAAGCTGGCCAAGAAGAGATGCAGGCGGTCCAGTCCAAATGTGGCACGGGCTATGGAGTCACCGAGAAAGGATGCGAAATTGACAACAACTGAAGAATGAACCTCACAAGAACAATGCTGCTGAGGCCTGTCCTACAAAAGTATACTCCCCAAAAGCTACAGTACATGGTAACGACTTGGTGCTTCTTTGTTCTTCTGGGGGGGGGCCATTTGACAGTCACTAGCCCGGCATGGCCTTTGTGGATGAGGATTTCATGAGGATCTCGTGGGTGAAATTTCTGCCCCGTTTCTCATCCGATGCAGTGGTCCTCATCCGTGGATCCTGGGCGCTGGTTCGCGTTGACCTTCTTCTGCATGGTCGTGGTATCTCAGTGGCGACGTGGTGGGTCAGTATCCGGTATCTGTAGTCATTGAGGGGTTGGAAAAGGGACGCTCAAAGCAATGGCAAAAGGTTCATGAATCAAGAGATTCAACCTATTATATAAACAAACCAACGAGCACAACGAAGATTCATCTTGAAACTTCTGCTGCAGAATGTCCTCAAGCGTCCTTGGGCATCCAGACTGCTGCAGGTGTAGGTGCTACAAAGCAAGTTCTCACAGCAATCCTCCACAGTGCTGCCTCGCAAGACGGCGGTTGGGACGACTGTCCGAGAGTCGACTCTCCGGCCTCCACCGAATTCGTAAAGCAACAGCATTGGACATCCAGCCAAAATCAGATTCTCGCAAACACGATCGCAGGGAGCACATGGCCGCCCGCCTGTGAGCACAGAGTTGGATTTCTTCGGCCGGAACTGCGTGTTGTTGGGGCAACCTCGGCAGGAAGCTTCGGGGCATGAGGCCTGCATGCCTTCAGAAACAAGCTGGTGCTGGTCGTTGGGAGGTTGCAGAGACCTGCGATCAAAGCTAACAGTTGTAACACCCCAACTCGCAGGTGCCCCTTAGCAAAAGTCAAGACGTTGTTGCACCAGCCTTCACCAGCCATGAAGACCTCCGGTCAAGACACCTCACCTCAACACTTCGGCTGCAAGCAGGGAGTGGCGGCTAATCCGCACATGGGAATGGCTCGAAGGATACGACTTGAGGTACCACACTGGTCTTGAGTGGGTGGCCATAGCCCACAAACCTTTGAAGCACCAGAGCTACCCATTGCCTCCGTCCCTCCCTCTCTGCGAAAAGTTGCTGAAGTCGCCGCAAAGACGGGGGTCACCTTGACGTCCAAACGTGGTCAGGTGTCCCATTGCTGTGGTGAACGTTTCGGATGTGAACTTGGTAGGCGGGCACTCAACAACCAACAAACTCAATGTTGTACACTTCTCGATTTGTCGCTGTCAACTAGCGACCAACAAATGCCATCAACCGGCAACGCGCAACGCGGTTTTGGGGCTCGCGCGATCGATCCCGCCCTGTCTGCGGTGTGAATGCGGTCGTGTGCTCATGGACAAGTCTCAAGCAAGGTGGGCACTTCTATGCTTGGTATCCCTAAACTCTCATCACCCATACTTCTGAGACTTGATCCATTTGGCTCCCACGGCCATCTGTACTGTTCTGCTAAGGCCTTTATGGCTGCAAAGAACTGATCCTGACGCTCTCGCATCAGTCGTTCGAGTTCTTTCTTCCTGACCTTTCGGCCGGCTTCAAATTTTGGATCATGAACCAGCTTCCATCGTTGACCTCCAGCAAAAAATTGCAACAGAACTTTTCTGCTTCCCCATTTTGTCAAGCTGTCGCCCAACTGTACACCGCCGTGTACCCATCGGAATTCAGTTCCGACTTGGCATGCTTGAGAAACAGAAATTGTCAACTCATAGCCAGATCGAGACGAACGAAGGCCGTGCAAGCTTGAAACATTTCGAGTTGCAGCGTCAAAAATTCCTCTGGTGTCCATCACAACTGCTCCACTGGTGTTGTCCTTCACCATGCTGTAAATGGTGTCCCGCTCAAAAGACAACCCATTCATCTCGCACCATAGTGCTCTAGCTCGAAAGACCATGTCTTCGGTCTCCGTGACTGCCTGGACTTCAGCTCCGTTCGAGCCTAGAACTTGTCGAGGTGCACGGGTGGACTTCCATTGGATCAAATTGACAGGAAGCTCTTCTCCACTCAAAAACTCTTTTGGCGTCATGCCCAGCACAATGCCCATGGTTGAGCTATGATCCGGACGGTTCTTCTGGGAGGCGTCCGCCCAGCCCACAATGGCGATGTCTCGCCAAGCTCGCTTCCATGGAAAGAAGCACAAAGCCTGTGAGGCTTCTCGGCGCATCTCGCGAACCACCTTGTTCGCTTTCACCAGCGTGCTGACTGTCGCGTAGGGGACCTCAGATAACAAAAGGCCGGCGTCAGCCAAAAACTGAGGTGAGCTCTGTGAACTCCTCCATGCCATTGTCCCAATGCAACCACGCAATGCCGAAACTTCTGCTGGTGTCGCTTTGTCACCTGTTTGCTTTGCTCGGTCCGGGGCAATTGAGATCTCCTCAATCCAACGTTCAGTATAGTCTTGCTGGCTGAGCTTGATGACATTGTCTGAACTTGTGGATATGTTGCACCCTGTAAAAGTGAAATCTTTGGTGTCCCATCGACCCCACTTGTATGCACCCTTGAGCTTTGCAAATGCTGCTTCAAACATCTTGCAACCCTCAACTCCACCGACCAGAAGGTCGTCAACGTGGCATCCCACAATGCTCTTCACTGGACGATCTGGGAGTGATTCATCTTGCAGGATGAAAATGCATCTATCGCTCTTCAACGACTTGTAGCCGATCTTCCTCAAGGTGCTGGCTAGATGTTCAAACCATTCCCTCGGAGCTTGAACCAAACCGTAGAAAGCTCTGCAAACACGCAATGCCATGGTGGGGCTTTCAGGCGCCGCACCAAACAACACTGCCAACTCACTGGGGGCCCACACTGTCAACTGCTGGTCTTCAAGTGACTGGTCGGCCTGCAAAAAGGCTGATGTCACGTCACCTCCATGCAGCGTCATGCCACTGTTGGCGCACATCGTGAGCAACATGTTTCTGGACAGGCGGCTCATGGTTGGACTGGCCGTTTGGACGGATACCAGATTTGGTGCCTGGTATCCTAGGACCACAAGACGGGCCTTGCTGGTGCAATCGCTCTTGGTGGTGAGAACCCACCTCATGGACATCACAGTCTTTGGATCCAGGTTCTTCTGCTCCTGGATGGTCAGGGATCGGAGGGCCTTTGACTGAAGCACCTGACTCAACTCCTTGGCCTGTGCCAAGTCAAATGACATCTTCTCATCCATTGTCATCTTCTGCCACTCCTTTTCTTTTCCCTTTTCCATCACTTTCTTTGACATCCAGATGGAGGACTTGGCTGGGTGGTTCATCAGCCATTGGATGTCTTTCTGGTCGACTTCAATCTCGACACAGAACACGGTGTCCTTCTCCACCGTCATGAACATCGAGGCTTCCTTCTTCTGCCTCTTGTCTGGCGGCTTCTTCCGCCTGGGCTTCCTCTTTTCATCGGCGATCATCTCCTCCGATGAGCTGCTGCTGCTTTCCGACGAAGAGGATGAAGTCGAGTCTTCTTCATCAATTCGTCCATCTTTGGAGTTCCAATGGAACCTCTTGTTGTCACTGCTCAAGTGCAAACCTTCATGGCCTCCTGGGAGCATGCACTCTTTCACTGCACATTGGTTACCAATCGCAGATCTTGTTCCTCGTTCTTGCGGCTTGTCCTGGGATTCATCCAGTCCAGGACGAGGTGTTGCTGGCATTCCAGCAGGTGTCGGAGGAAGTACTTCTCCTTCAGGGGCTGTCGTGGAAGGTTGCCCTCGAGGCGTTCCTGGAAGACTTTGGGCCTTTCTCTTCGGGCCTCTCTTCTTGTCTTCTGCCACCGCTTTGTCAGGGCTCGATGCTGCGCTCGTGGATTTTTCAAACCACGTTTCCCCCGTCCATCGCTCTGTCAAATGGCGATGCGGTTCATCTGACTCCTTGAAGTCATCTTCAACCAAAACTTGCTTTGAATTCGGAATCACCGGCTGCACATAGGTCCTCCTCAAGCCTGTCAACTGAGTCTCAGGCACTGGACATGTTCCCATTCTCATCGGTGAGAAAAGTGCCAGTCGGGGAACTTGGTGGACTCGTATCAACCATTTTTCATCATCATTCTTCCAAGTGTCAAACTTACCTTTTGGGTTCTTGGGCTCAAGTGCCACTGTCGTCTCACTGACATCTTGCTGTCGCTGCTCCTCTGAAGGTGCTTCACCACAGATGTTGGTGAAATGCTTGCCACTAAACTGTCGAAGCAGTGCATCTAAAGTCACCGGGGTCTTCATGACTGCTGTTCCTTCGAGGTTAGCTTGCAGCTCTTCACGTCGCGTCACCGGGCGACACTGGTTCACCTTGGCTTTCACAATGGCCGAGCCAGTAGCGAGCCATACTGTCGTGCCTTCTTGGATGAGAGCACGTAGTGGCCCAACCCATCGTCCTTTGCCTCCTTGTTGCCGCCATACCATCACCAAATCACCTCCCTTGTAGAGGTTGGTTGGTCTTCCAACTGCATTGTTGAGGCGGCTCATTCGAGATCTGGCGTACTCCATCTCATATGCTACCTTGGCCTTGGCTTTCAGGCGTAGCATGTGGTCGAAGGCTTCTCGTGGCCGGATGCCAGCTGGGAGAGATGGTTCTGGAGCGTCAGCTCCTCTGGTCCATTGGAATGGGGAAAAACCGCTTGGTCCTATTGTCTGGTTGTGGCCATGGACACAAAGACACATCGTCTCCTCAAGGCCGAGCTCGGGGCATTCTTTCTTCATCCTTCGGAAGGTGTTCTTTAGGATGCCAATGCATCCCTCCTCTGCCCCCATCACCCAGTGAGCTTCTGCTGGACTGGTGAGAATGCCGATGCCACTTCTTGCCATGAAATCGATGAAATCCGAGCTGGTGTAGTAAGTGGCTGGATCGGAGATCACCCATCTTGGAGCCGGGTTGTTCATCAACCATTTGCCAAACGACCTCAGGACATCGGCCGTCTTTGGCTCCCATCGGTCTATGCCGGTTTCGCCTGCAAACTCTTGGAGCATGTCGACCTGAGCTAAGCCTGATGCTCGGTCTCTCCAGAGTATGTACTTGCCCTTCATCGTGATGTCTTTCTCATCATCATGGAATTCCACTTCAAAGACATCTGTCCCTACCATCTCAAAGAGGCCTGGCAGGTCCTTGGTGGATGAAGGTGGTGCAGGTCTTGGCTTCTTTGCTTCTTCACAGTCTGGGCACTTGATCTCCTTGCTTAGTTCCACCGCCCAATCAGGTGCCTTCCGCATCCTGAGCAACTTCTCAAGGCTTGAGAACGACGAATGTCCTGATGCCTTGTGGATGCGTAGCATCATCTGCTTGATGCTTTCCAGCTTCTTGCCCGTAGGCCTTTCTGCTGGGTATCTTTGCCTGGTGAGTGCCATCACCTGAGGTTCTTCTTCTCGGACTCTCTGTTCTGGAGTCATCATCTCATCCTCCTCAATCTCCAGCAGGCAACATTGAATGTCCTTTGCCATGGAAATATTTTGTGCATCTTCCATTGATGTCCACGAGGCGATCACTGCCTTGCAGATGCTACGTACCATCTCCTTGGGGTAGTAGCTTGATGCCTGTGCCACAAGTCCACGGCATTCTAGGTGATCTGGGTGCCCTGGACATTTGCGCTGGAGTGCCATCCATACTTGTCGATTGCTGGTCAACACAGTCCAGTGCTTCATGATCGGATGGCCCTGGTACTCCAGTCCGAATGCGCATCCATGGAATCGGCACCAAAAGACTGGTCTCCCAAGTTGCCGCAGCTTCTGAACCAATCGAGAGATACAGCGTGCTCTCCAGCCTTTTGCCGCACCTGTTGGCCACTCCCATGCAAAGTCTTGTCCGTGTTCCAATGCACTGCATACTCCTTGGCTGACTTCATCTGCCCTCTTCAGGTCCCGGTTCTGCCGTTGTTCGAATTGGGCTTGTTCATGCTCAGTTCGTTGAGTGAGGTTTGTCAAGAGACTGATGCGAGTGCATGGAAGGCTCACCCATGTCATCTTCGGTGGACGGATTGTCATCTCCTGCTGGAACAACCTTGCGCCGGTCTTGGACTCCAGATCATAGCCATTCTTGTAGTTGATGCGCTTCACCTCATAGCCCCTTTCGGACATCATTGCACTCAAGGAGCTGTTGGGTGCGCATGCCACTTCACAAAAGTCGACTCCTTGGCTCATCTGGCTGAACAGTCCTTGAACGGGGTCCATCACCATGGCACCAAAAATGGCTGCTTGTGTGGCGAGTCTTTTCACGATTCCGGTTGGAATCATCTGTCCTGCTGTGCCTCCTCGACTGGTAGATCCTGGCGAGGTGGTCTTGGCCGGTGCGCTCAAAACTGTGCCGTGCTCATCGTGCAATGGCGGAGAATCTCGAGTCGGTGGATGACTCTTCGTGTTTGTCGTGGTGCTCGTAGTGCTGCTCGTGTTCGTGGTGTGTGTCGTGTGATCGATGCAGTCGGCTGCCTGATCGCTGGTCGGCTGGTGAGAACCGTGGGTATTGTGAGGGGTGTTGACATGGAATGCCGCTCTTCCCTCATGGCCTACGGAGGCCTGCTTGCTCCTCATCTTCTGCAGTCGCTCCTTCAGCGACATGATGGTCCCCATCAGGGAACTTCCTTGGCCGTCTCCTTCATCTCCATCAGCTCGTCCTCGGAGGTCACGTCGATCACTGGGGCTTCCACCGCCGCCCACTCTGACGGCTGCCCAGGTTGATATCCCCTGGTGGGGGACTGAGATCGGCTCTCCTCCTTGGTCCTTGCCGGACTTGGGCTCTTCTTCACCTTGGTCTTCATCTGCAGGATGCTCTCCTTCAGTGGGCTGTCCGGGGTCTTTGCACTGGATGGCAGCTGTGATGGGCTGCCGGGCACCGTCGTGGCTGGTGTCGATGGACTGGCCATGCCCTTCGTCTTCGGTGGAGCTGCCTCTGATGGCTTGCTCGTGGATGTCTTGTCCTCGACCTTTGGAATCTGGGTCACTCCATCCGCTCGGCCGAACATCTCCAGCCTCTTCTCGTACTCCGCCAGGGTCAGATTCAAGGACAGAGATGTCTTGAATCCCATCTGAAGCATGGTTCCCTTGATCTCCATCATTTTGCCGTTCACCATGTCGGCATTCATCTCTGCCGCACTCGTGGTCTTCTGAAGGGTCTCGAGTGCAAGGCGGATGATGGAAGGATCTGGACCCATCTGGCGGGTATGGCCACGACCCTCTTTCTTCGTTGTGTACCTCAAACGAAGGCCACAACGTGTGCACATGGTCCATGTGGCGTACTGGTTCTGCCTCAGTGCACCTTCCTTGTGACTGCCATAGCATGGGAATCCGGACAGCCTGGGATCGTCGCATGCTGAGGGCTCCTTGCTGATCATGCCGAGTGGCTTGCCGATCACGGAATGCTTGAAGCTTTTGGGCCAGAAGCTGCAACCGGTCCGAAATTGGCTGCGACGATGCATCCGGAGAACATGAACTGCTCTGATCAACCATCATCAAACAACTCTCAACACCAGGCGAACCCTGCTCAATGCTCAATGCAAAATTGTCTGTCGCTGTCGACCGCATCAACCAAACTTCTTGGGCCTTGGCAACTGCCGTAGGCTGAGAGGCCAGGTCGATGGTGAGATGACCCGACGCCAATGCCTCCAGTTGAACTGCTTGCATGCTGCTGTCTTGCTCTGACTGTGTTGTCGGTGTCTCCGGCTGAAAAATGAACATCCCATTGCTATACGAGATCAACACATTTTTCCTCCGCAACAGTTTTGCTCCAATCAACGGTGGGGTTGCAGAGCCTGTACCACCCAACACGTAGAAAGGCATCGTCCCCAGTGCTGTTCCAAACAAATCAACTCGGCTGATTGCCCGGTCTGTCAGGCCGTTGCCAAATCTAAAAGTTGGAAGGTCATCCTTGGAAACAGCGTAGGAGAAATTGCCGGAAAGAACCAGGTCGCTCAGTGCATTGATGCCCACTGCATTCTCAGTGGCACCCGTGTCGATGACAGCCTTCGTTGCCGGTCGACCATGCAGCACTTGCGAATCCCAGCTCACGGTAAAAACAGCAGGATCTGAAAAAAACGTTGGCTTGCCCTTTCCTTTTCCTTTGCTTTTGCCAAAGCCCTTGCCCTTGCTCTTGCCCTTTGCAAATCTGTCAGGGCATTGCTGATATCCATGGGTTGGCTTCCCACAGATGAAGCACGGTCCGAAAGGTCGCTTGCCCTTGCCATCTCCTTTCTTCGAGTGCCCCTTGCCTTTGCCTTTGGACAGTTGAGACGAAGTCGGACTCATGCCCTTGCCTGTATTGCTTTCAGGAGCGTAGTAACCCCCTGCAGCTCTTGTTCGACGAACTGCCTCTCTTGCTTCCTTCAAGGTTCTTTGTGCCTCGGAAGCTAAGGCGAAAGCCTCATGGTACTGCCTCTCCTCCAGCAAGTCACTGTTCTCGTCGGGGATGGTCTCCTCCTCGATCCAATCATCTTGCCATTGCTCTGTCGTCTCATCAGTCCAATCTTGCCAGTAATTGGGCTCGTACCACTCCTCCCAGCTCTGGGGACTCCACTCTTCCCAATCTTCTCCAGCACCATAGTAGGACTCAAAACCGTCCCACTCGTCCTCAATGACCCATGCCGTACGACGTCGTTCATGAGGACTTCCTGCAACATTTGTCTCAGCTTCCTCTGCAAACAATGTCCGCAATGCCAACCGTACTGCATGGTAATGCGTACTGTTTGCTGTTTGAGTGAGCACATGCTGCTTCTCAGCCGTTGTCAGTCGTGCAGCCTTCAACAATCTGTACCCTCTCAACTCGTCTTCGAAGAAGTTGGCCATCAACGGTGGGGACGCACCCGTTTGGGTGGCCTCGGTCCGGAGCTCCGTTGCTGGCCCTTCAGTAGCTGCTCTTCGTGCACCTGCCATTGGAGATCGTGAAGGGGTAGAAGGCGGATCAACAGGCACTGTACCAGGTCGACCGAGGAACGCTTGTCCGAGCTCGCTCACCCCTGAGCGGATTCCGGTTTTGGACATTCGCGCCCTCTCCAATGACTGCTGTAGCTGCTGAAACAAATCTTCTTCTCTGACAAGGAGTTCAGGGATGCTTTCACGATTGTTCCTCTTGAGGTGATGCCAGGACTCCAAACGAGTAAAACTGTCAGGAATTGGGAGTTGCTGCAACGGCGATGCTCGAAGGACACCAAGTAGGCGTTCCAGCCCGTCAGCGTCCTCATAATCCTCAGGTGGTAGATGCTTGACTACCGCCTTAGCGGCTCCAGAGAGTCTCTGCCAAACCTTGCTTGCTGCGTGCTTCTGCTCGCTATCTTTGAGGGATCGTTGATACCACCTGCATGCTATAGCGAACGCTTCAAAAGATGTGGCCTCTCCGTTCCAGGTTGGAATATCGCTGCCACCACCACCTGAAGTCGCCGTCATGGTCCCGGAGCAACGTGCTCCGCTACCATGAACTTGGTAGGCGGGCACTCAACAACCAACAAACTCAATGTTGTACACTTCTCGATTTGTCGCTGTCAACTAGCGACCAACAAATGCCATCAACCGGCAACGCGCAACGCGGTTTTGGGGCTCGCGCGATCGATCCCGCCCTGTCTGCGGTGTGAATGCGGTCGTGTGCTCATGGACAAGTCTCAAGCAAGGTGGGCACTTCTATGCTTGGTATCCCTAAACTCTCAGGATGGGTTTAGGCTAAGAAGTGTGAGGCTCAGCACTTAGCCTCGAAAATGGAAACGTTCTGTTCATGCACAGTCTGCAAGCAGGTCTCTCTCTCTCACTCTGAAGGCCACTTACAGCTAGTGGCACCTTTGGGTGCTTCTTACCATTGGGTCTGAGTCGGAGCTATCTTCCTGGTAGTGATTATCTGGTCACAAGAGAGCCCCAAACAAAAGCAGCTCAGACATGCTCAGACCATGAATTTGAGGCTTGTCCCAACCTTCCCCAGACTAGTTCTACGCTTCACAAGATGTTGAATCTCCACACTTCGTTTCAACTAGCCACAATTCTCCTTTGGTGCACAAGGCAGCCAGAAGAACAAACATAGCAAGAAGAGCATTTATCTGGCTTTACTGGACCTACAGTACTTCAGCCAGACAATTTGCAGCCGGGACACAGCATTCCGTCAGCTCGTTGCCGGTCAGTTCGGCGGCATTCTCCTGGTGGAGTCACCCCATATTCAGAAACCGTCGGTCTGCCCTCAGTCCGGTTAGAACGGTTACAGTAGAAGGTACAGTCTTGATCCGCAAAGGACTCAGGTGCAGTGGCCCAAAAAGACGTGAAGAAGTCTCCAGTTCCACCCTCCGAGTCTAGGCGACCCGGGCATTCCCCAATTCGCTACTAGTAACAAAGGGCAGCAACGACGCCACTAGGAACGATCTTTGAAGCGACTAGTATGTCTTTGATTGCTACTAGGAGCAAGGACGCTACTAGTGACAAGTTCACCGCGGTGCACCGAGGTCTTTTCATCTTGGTAGTCAGAGAGAGAGAGAGAGACACCCTTCTGGTGGTCTTCGCGGCGCCGATTCTCGAATAGGTCGTGGGATCTCTTTTCGGATCGGCTTTTCCAATCTCCTTGAGCTTCCAGTGGCTTTTCAGCTCCGGCCTCAGAGAATGCAAAGCTGGGCACAAATCCTGACAAGTGGAGGCCATCGGACCCGAAAAAAAGAAAGAAAAAACCTACAGGTTTGGTGGAAAGCCATGGAGAATTCTGCCAAACTGTAGGGTCAGGTGTTCATAGCCAGTTGCACGTCCCACTGGAGGATTGCTCAACTGCAAGTGTCAGCCACACTGTCGACCTCAAACAAATCAAGCCACACCTGAATCTGTGTCGGTGGGGCGAAACTCTTTACGAACAAATGCATCCAAGATGTGAAGAAGATCGAACTCCTGATTCCGCAAGAACACTCGGCCGCCCAAGAAGTGAGCGGCTTGAACGGACCTGGGGCCTCAGTGAGCCAAGTTGCTGGATTTCGAACTCGCTGCACTTCTTCTCTTCGCAGCACTCAATATCACCTCAAAGCTCAAAGTGAAATGGGCTGCACTCACCTGCACATGATCGAAGAGGGAATCCTATTTTGGACCACACGAGTTAGAATCGTTACAAACATGAAAGTTCAGAGATGTTACTCATATTCTTCGGGTCCGGAATCTGATCAGCTTCCCCACCCCAAGTCGCTCTCATCGCCCAGTCACCCCAACCCTTCACGGTGATGTTCTTCCCTGTGGCCGGATCCACCGACATGGTGGGCTTCTTCCGCATGATCCGGACATCCGAGCAAGTCCAGTCCAAGCCTCGGGCCGTGCAAATGCCGCTCCGTTTCGCAAAACCGGAGCAGCCATGGGATCCCAGAACAACCGGCTTTCCTCACTTCCGGCGCAATATTTTGGGAAACTTGAAAAAACTGGCCATCCAATCCATGGGAAACTCGACCCACTCTCGATTCTCCGCTCCAAAAGACGTGAGCTGCGACATGAGCTGCGGCTGGGGAGCATTCTTTCTGAATGCAGCATTCCTCCTTCGTGCTTCCTCCCGCAGACGCACGTGAGGTGCAAACGGACCGCACACGCTGCCCTACCAGACACAGCCGTGCTACCAGCGATGCTACCAGCGATGCGACCAAACAAGACACCAGGTGGACCAAACATAATGAAAGTCTTTGCTGCACAAAACAAAAAATACCGACGGAACAAAATGAACCTTCAACATTAAGAAATGGAGCATGAATGCAAGAGATTGTATTTGAAGAAGTAACAGTGATGGTCGCAGCCAGTCTTCCATGTCCTTTCAAGCCAGTGGCAGGATTCTTGTCCCAGCCAGTGATGTTGTCGCAAAGGTCCTGGCCCAGAAAGAGGAAAGGTTGGTGTTTCAAACTCCTGCACTGCCCCAGGGCCCAGGAACCCAAATCTTCTCATCAACCGTGCGACTTCAAATTGACGTTTAGTTCAGCGAAAATGCCCTTTTGCTTTTGACAACAACGGCACTCCGGACTCCTGACGTCGGATGTTACCCTTGCCCGAAAATAGAACCCCTGATGTTTCTTCTGTTTGGTCACAGGCATCTTCCTGCTTTCATCTGAGTTCCCTGGACCATCCCAGGACAATGACCAGCTGTAGTCGTGCCTAGCAACTGTCACTGAGCGCCCGCACTGCTGGGCAGTACTTGGCTACACAGCAGCCCTGGGGAGTGGAGCCCAGGCGCGTGTCGAAGTCCTTCCGAGGCTCCTCAGGCTGCCGTGACCTTCCGATTCTCGTGTACCTCCTCGTGTTCGAATTGATATGACTCTGTTCTACTTTAGTCCATTGGGTGACGCGAGACTTTGGCTTGCACTTCAGCTTGGTTTTAGGGATTAACATCTAACAGTCGGAAAGGCCAAGCCTAGTTCGCTAAAACCTCTCACTCGCACTCTCTCTCTCTCTCTCTCACTCACTCACTCACTCACTCACTCACTCTCTCTCTCTCTCTCTCTGTCTCTCTCTCTCTCTCTCTCTCTCTCTTTCTCTCTTGTGTTTGTAAAAAACAAGGTGCCGACACTCTTGCTGGATGTCTGATTGCGTCCCTGTCCTACAAACCTTCAAATGAGACCGACCCAGACCCAAGGCCCAGACCCATTGGGTCGTTGGTGCACCTCGACACAGATCAGAGAGATCAGAGATCACCATGGGGGAAGTGGGAACAGCCACTCTTAGATTCCATGCTTTTCATGTTGGCGCCTTGAGATTGGTGCGCCAAATGAATCTCTGAGATTCACACGATTCATATATCAGTTTCATGTGGCCCTAGAAGTCTGGCTCCCACCACCCCCATCCCATGGGGTGATGTACTTCTTCTTGGCCAACCTGACACTCTATGTGTATGTCTTTGTCTCTGAAACAGTCTGAAACATGCAGATGCCCAAGGTTCAAACAAGCCTCTGATCTTTCGGGAGGCCTCTAAGCTTTGCGAAAACAGCCTGAAACAGTGCCTAAACCGACTGCGGGATGCGCTGGTCTTCCGCTCAAAAAGTGAATGCAAAAGAATGTGCGACCCCAACAATCAACACGCCCTCCCCAAAAGAGTTAAATAATGATGTTCTTCTTTCTGAAGGCAATATGTTATATACATATACTATGCTTGGGGCAATGCCTGCTACTATCAATCACATTTCTCAACCCTAAGCTTCGCCCAAACCCCCACCACCACAGCAGTTGTTCAGCGTGCCACCCATGAAAAACCGCTGAGCTTCCAGCAAGTAACCTCATCGCTGCATTTCCTGAGCCAAATAGAAGTGTCAGCATGCAACTCGCCTTCAAAAGGTGTGAGTCGCCTGGATTGGCAGCACTGTCGCAAAAACCTGTGGAATAAGGAAACAAGAAGTCCAATGACAGTTGCAAAACTTGGAGAAGAAATCTCATCCCAAAGACCGGGATGAGTCGAACCTGTACGATGGCTACTTCCCGTCCAGCCTTCCCCCGTTGGCCCCACCGCTCTTCCCCTCTCTGCGCGAGAAATCGCCGATCGCGGCTGGCGCCTGGGCTCGCAGCAGGCGGCCTCTGAAAAGCCAAAGGACTCCGGCTTCAGCTTCTGCGTCTGAGGGTGAGGGCCTTGGGGATGCGGGGACGTTTTTCGGTGAAGGCCAAAGCAACTGGGCCAAAGGGTTGTTGGGAGATGCGCCAGGCAGATTTAGGTTGGTCTGTGTACATCAGAATTGGGAAAAGAGACAGGGACATGGGAGCCAAAATGAAAAGAATCCCTCAATCGGAGTTCATCTACTTCACCTATTTGCAGGAATTTGTTTACATGCTCTATTGTGAGACACTCGAATCTAGATCTGATTCCTTTGGTGCGGCATCGAGCGACAAAGCCACGATGGGCTTAGTGGTTCCAGCACCTTTGCAAAAGCACCGAGTCATGATGGCAGCGGTGCAAACGTGCAACACCAGGTGCGAGGGCTGGAAAAACACCCAGCCATAATATGCCATGATCATGTATGTGGGCGGTATGTGTCAAGAAACTTATATATAAGCAACCACGGGTTTATGGTGAAGTGACCTTCCTGCAGAACGAAAGGACACTGCCTGGCCAGGCAGACCGTGTTTGCTCGTCCGAGGCCCGTGGCACTCAAAGTTCTTGCAGACCTGCCCACGTCGGAAAGAAACGGACCGCGGCCGGGTGACCAATACCAGTATCCCACGAAAAAAGGGCGATCCCGGAAAAAAAGGCATGCTTTGGAGCAGAGCTTTGAAATTTTAGATAACTGATCCGTTAAATTTCTCAGGAATCCGACACACAACAGCCCTCTCCGCATCGATGGTTCTCCTCAACGGCCACCGGCCACCATGCCAGAAGGGTCGCATCCCTCCTCGCCTGCGGCGTCAAGCAGATGTTGGACATCGTCACCTCACCGCTGGTGAAGGGCTTCTCATCACCTCAGCACCAGGCAGACCAGAACGGTCACATCGAATGAACGGAGGGCAGGGTATCTTGATTTGGAAAGAACGGGAGAAACAAGCCATAAGTACAAACACCCATCTGGGGCTTCTTCGCAACTGTCACTGCAAAAGGCGACAGGTCCCAAACAACTGAAACCTCAAAAACTAGACGACGGGTGGCCCGAGAGCGAGACATGTGATTGTCCAGCACTGTGGAAAAGATATCTAGAAAGGGAGACAGAAAGGATGGACGTGAAGGAGTGACAGTGTGGATGTGCAGGTGCGGTACAGATGTGTAGATGTATGGAGGTGGAGAGGTAGATCTGTGGATGCAAGCGTGCGAAGATGCAAGTGGACAGAGGCGAGAGAAAAGATATGTCTTAGGTTCGTTAGAAGTCAGTCGCACTTCAAGCCGGTCAAAACAAGTCAGTCCCATTTGAAGAACACAACAAAGAAAACCGTAAGCAGGTCGAAGCGCACACAAAATGGATTTGTGTGCTCTTCATCCTGGTCCCAAAAACCAGCGGCGAGCAGATATCCTGCGAGCAGAGGCTCAAAGCAAGTCAGTCTGACTTCAAGTATCGGACAAACAGAAAGTACGCAGTAAGTGCGCTTCAATTCATCAGCTCCACTCTCGCGGACAGGCCCTTGAAAGCGCCAACACTGCGACCTGAGAGCAAACGACGCTACGATCAGGACAAGCGACTCGTGCGTTCCAACTGCACATCGTTTGTCACGCAGGTGAAGTAGACACATATCAACGTCACGCCCCTTTTTGCGGCAGCCGCGGATCCCGTCGTTTAAGCGTGGATGTCGTAGTTTCGTCCCGAACAGTCTCGACGGACGACCCGCGACATGAATTAGTCTCGGTGTGTTGCGCTGAAGTCTCTCTGCCATTCCGCGCGCAAACCTTCCAGGTGCCACAACGCTTCCAAGGCATAGGGTCGATTGCGCCAAGGACGCAACGCTGGTCTTTTTTGAACCAGCAACTGCACGGCTTCCAATGCGGAGTGCTCGCAAGCGACAACGAGCCAAGCGCATAAAATCCCCGCGCTCCGATTGATGCCACCAAAGCAGTGAAGGAGCGCGTGCATGGATTTGTCCCCAGCCACCGCCAGCATGGGCTGTTCCCACAACTGGTTGCAGACGATTTTCCACTGTCGCAAACAGGAAGCCACCAAGTCCGGAATCTGCTCAAGCCAACGCCTTGCCGGCTTCAAGCGCAGGTGTGATATAGCTACGCCGATGTGTGGGTGTGTGGGGGTAGAGAGGTATATCTGCGGCGTTTCGTACGAGACTTCCTCCATAAATGAAGCACCAACACCAGCGTTTCCTACGAGACTTCCTCCAAAAGTGAAGCGCCAAGTCTCCAAAACGAGCGTTGCGTACAAGACTTCCTCCAAAAGTGGAGCGCGACCAATCCAAAACGCACTTTCACCTGCATTTCCCGCACTCGACACGCACGATCTCCGCAGAGGCTTGCGCCGGACCGGGTCAAAACGCACTCTCGCCTGCTCGATACGCACGATCCCCGCAGAGGGTTGCCCGCGACCGCGACAAATCGCACTCTCGCCTGCACTTCGCGCACTCGACACGCACGATCTCCGCAGAGGGTTGTCCCGGACCGGGGCAAATCGCACTCTTGCCTGCGCTTCGCGCCCTCGACACGCACGATCTCCGCAGAGGGTTGCCCGCGACAAAACCAAAAAATCGCACTCTCGCCTGCATTTCGCGCACTCGACACGCACGATCTCCGCAGAGGGTTGTCCCAGACCGGGACAAATCGCACTCTCGCCTGCATTTCGCGCACTCGACACGCACGATCTCCGCAGACGGTTGTCCCGGACCGGGACAAATCGCACTCTCGCCTGCATTTCGCGCGCTTGACACGCACGATCTCCGCAGAGGGTTGCCCGCGACAAAACAAAATCGCACTCTCGCCTGCATTTCGCGCACTGGACACGCACGATCTCCGCAGAGGGTTGTCCGCGACCGGGACAAATCGCACTCTCGCCCGCATTTCGTTCGCTCGACACGCACGATCTCCGCAGAGGGTTGCGCTTCGTTGGTGCTCCGGCGGTACTGCCCCCGGCCTTAAGAGAGAAAGTTAAGAAGAGCGAGAGGTGAAGATGTGACATGTAGATGAGAGGCAAAGATGTGAGATGTAGATGTGAGGATGTGAAGATGAGCAGAGATGTAGATGTGCAGTTGTGAATGTAGATGTGAAGATGAGCAGAGATACAGGTGAGAATGTGGATGTGCAGAGGTGAGGATGTGAAGATGAGCAGAGATGTAGATGTGCAGTTGTGAATGTAGATGTGAAGATGAGCAGAGATACAGATGAGAATGTGGATGTGCAGAGGTGAAGATGTGAAGATGTAGATGAGACGTAGTTCAGCAGATGTTTTTTAACGAAGAACCCTTCGCAGACGCTCTCAGGAAAAACTCTGGGTCCATGCAAAAATTTGGAGACTCTCCCTCTCGGCCTCCCCGGAAAAAAGGACAGAAACCTCCTTGGACAGCGGTACCGGACGAAACCAACCTGTCCCGCTCAGTCGGGATGGCTGAGAGCTCCCGACGGTACAAGTACTCCGCATGCTGTGCGGAGGTCAAGACAGGTCCCTGGAGGCGGATGGATCGGTGCGTCAGGTGCCTTTGGAGGGGAAGGCAATCGAAACAAATGGGCGATGTCTTCCTCTTGGCGTTTCCGAAGCTACTAGGAACAAGTGCATCGCTTCTAGTAACAAGTGCCTTACTAGTAGTAACTATGTTTGCTATTAGAATTAAGAATTAGATTGATTAAGCCCGTCTCTATCGATGCGTCCCTCGGGTCCCGGCCGAAGAGGACAGGGTGCATTCAACGCAGCCGGCAGGGACAAGGATGTTCATGAAACCTGCCATGTCACCCAGGGTTGAACCTGAAATCAAGTGGTCCAACCTGTAGGAGTCTTGAAGACTTGCTTTCTCCTGTGGGAGTCTACTATAGGCTATATCCACGAAAATCACAAAGCAATTGCTGATGTTTCAATGCTTGGCGCCTTTGTCTTGACCAGCTTGGAAGCCGAACATCCGCGGGACGTTGCCGTTGTTCGTGAAAGTGGCCTGATCCAGGAGGCCGATGTCAAAGTCTTGAGACATCTCCAGGTGGGGGGAGCTGGAACCCTTAGCTCCTAGTAACTAGTAGCTTCTTGCTCCTAGTAGCGATGCCCTTTCAGGGACTACAATGACCACATGACTTTATGACAATGGATCTGACTTTCGGATAGAATCTGATACAGCAGGATTTCTGAATCCATCTGAGCGACCTTCAAAAATACAGTCAGAAATTGGGGCGGTTCTACTGAGACTTTGTTCTTTGCTTCCCGGCTTCGTTTTCCAAGGAATTGCACCAGTTTGGCTAACTACTATGCTCTGCTTGTTCACCAGGTGAGTTGGATTACCACTGGACCTTTGCAATGTGAAGTAGAGCATGTTCCTAGTAGCATCCTTGCTCCTAGTAGAAAGGCCAGGAGCCCCTAGTAGCGTCCTTGCTCCTAGTAGCGATGCCAAGAGCTAGGAATCCACAAATCCACGGGGGGTTGGGGCCCTCCCGCTTCTTATCTGCTTTTTGTGCAAATCGTTCGGAAACCAGGACACACAACAGGTGACAGGGTATTCACCCACCAAACAGCACCGGAAGATGCTGGATAAAATGCCCAGAGCTCTGCATCTTTGAACCTGCACGTCTCGTTTTGACTCACGCCCCTTCGGAACAACGGCCAACAACTGCCAACAACGGCCAACATCAACCACTCCAACTGGGCGATCCATGCATGCCGCCCATTAAGGTGCCAATTTTCAATACCCACACCGTTCTAAAAAAGAAGAACTGTTCAGATGGAAGAACCAGAGCTTTCAAGGAAAAAAGGAAAAAGAACACGAAGCCCACTATATATAACGCGTCACACAACTGCCGGGCCAACCCCCTGAGAATCACACCGTTTGCCTCCACATCCGTCCCAGCCTTGAGGAGCCATGGCTCACCAATGACCCAGCGCTCCTCTTTGGACAAGGCCTCGCAGCGACGCACAGGGACCCATCTCACCGCATGAGGAAACGTCTCTGCAGACAGAGATGGTTCAGTTTCAGGTCTTTTTGCCCACCGCAAAAGGTTGGTTGACCGTGAAAAAGGGTATCCAATAGAAAAATCTGGAGGATGTCATGATCTCACTTTCAAAAGTAGGGAAGAGTGGCGGTATGCTTGAGCAGATCTCCAAATATAAAATGACAAGTGCACCTCAGTGTTACGTTGGCTAGAGCATGGGCAAGTAGAACAAGCAAAAATGCTGATGGCACTGTCTCAACAAAGACGGAGCTTTGAAAATAGCTCGCATCATACAATCACGGCTTGAGATCCATCTTATTCTCGTCTATTCCCCGCATTTCCCTTTCTCCAATGAACTCACAGGCCATCTCTGCATAAACTGTTTGCAGATTCCAAAAACAACCCACAACTTAGAACGTGAGCTGAAAGATGACAGTGCTCCAAACAACTTCACTTCCCTGCCGATGCGTCACACCAGCTACCCCCCCCGGTACCCCCCCTCAGGCCAAATCTCTGGTCGGGGCTCTCCCCCAAATCCTGCGTCTCGTGGGTGGCCCTTTTCGTCCCGGGCCTCGCGGAGCTTATCCACGTCCCAGATCGAGTCCAGCTTGTTCTGGCAAGTAGAAGCCGAGGATACCACTCGACAGGAAAGGGACAGAGTGGAGCCTAGACTTGACTTTCGAGCCAAAACAAATGTACACAGCACAAAGAAAGGAGCCTGTTGACACAGCACAGCACTACTCAGTACTCTAGGTGTCAATCTCTCACAAATGGCCAAGGCTTATGCCCTAGCTGCTAGCTGCTCCATACAGGGACAACTCCTCCAAATCCTCCGTTGCACCCGCAATGTCCTTCCCGCGGCTTCGCTGCCGTCCCCGCCTTGCCCACGATGGTGTACTTGGGGTCCAGGCTGTCGGGGTAGTGGTTGTCCAGGTCGTCAGGGCAAGGGTTCTTCTCTTCGGACCTCAACTGGTTGAGATGGACCACTCCGCCTGATGTGTCCCATCAAAGTCGTCCCAAATGCAGAGAAGGAACTCTTCTGTAGCCACAGTAGCGTCTAGCCTGCACGCATCCGAAGATCAGTGGAAATCCAAGCAAGTAGCGGGAAAAAAAGAAACACAAGTGACCAAGAGTTCATTCAAAAGAGATCCAAGTGCTTATTGGACACGTATAATATGGAATTGAAATGTTGCTCAAACATCGATGTTATTCCAACAACAGCCCCGCTCCCGCCGCATCCACCCTGAAAAACAGAGCTGTCTGTCCTCTGAAACTTTCAAGTTGGTTGGTGTAGCCAGGTCTCACCGATCACAACCATGTGAAAATCACATCTTCCGTCAACACCACCTCCCACCGTGCAAAACCAGTTGGTTTGGGGACCTCTTCAAACCTCCCCCCTTCCGCAGTGCCGCAACAAGATCGCCTCAAAGCGGTGCTCCTCAAGGACCTGCTGACCTGGCCAAGCAGGTTTTGTCCCGAGGTGTTGGGGGTTGTTGGGGCCCGTCAAAGATGAATCAAGCAAGCCAATTCTCAAGCATAGTATTGTGTTCTCTTTCTCAATGTTGGCCAAACATACGAGCTACTGTTAAAATGACGGCCGTGTGCTATGCTATGCTATGCAGGCCAGTCTCTTTTGGATGGAAATTCAGACACTTACATGGAAGTTGACGAATGTCGGACTCAGGTCCTCAGGTCGTCCACGACTGAGAACACCAGGTCAAGTCGACCAACAGGATATGTTCGAAAAATTCAATTCATAACAGAACCAAACGACATCAACTCGTTCCTCAACCAGCGGACCTTGTTGGACTCAGCCGTGAAAAGTACGGCGCAAAGCAGAAAGAACTTCCTGAGATCGAATTTGCCGCCCATGCTCTGCAACCAAAAGTGGGAAGGCCCCGAAAAGTGCCCACCGTGTGACCTGAGTTTTACTGAAATCAGTTTCACTGGCGCTCGAAACCAAAGACCTGGTCCGATCCTCTCCATACCCTGAGCCCAGAAATATGTCTGTGCACACGGCAAGACCAGGGTGACATGCTAAATGTGTTCGCGATCCATTCCAAAGCTTGCACCCTCAACATTGTGAGAAATGTATTGGATCCATGGAATAAAATCCACTTCACACCCAAGCCATCTACCACCAACGCCCGCGAACCGGTGTACCAAGGAACATTTCGAGCAGGAAAGTGTCGTACAGTGTTGCGGCCTGAAAGGGCGAACTTCGAATTCTGCGAAACGCACGATTCCCTGAGGACCCTGCAGGTGATGAGCCACGCTCAAGTGAAGAGCGGGTTGCGTCACAAAGAGCCGTAACAGCTGTGACGGACCATGGCTTTCCGACAGTTTGGTGATATGAGTTGGCAACACTATTATCAAATGTGTATATATGCTATGGATACTGAATTGTCATGGATCTTTTCCAACCAGTCGCCGACTATTGTCGGGAAGAGAGTTAGTAAATGTGCGCAATTTCCAAAAAAACAAGTACATCGAAAGCAACCGGAAACCAGGTTCAACTTTACAAACATTGACAAAAGTGTCGTTCCTTCGTTTGGTGTCTTGCACATCACTGAATAAAAGAGCGCTTCTTTCTAAGACAGGGGGATGCACGTCTCTCATCAGGCCGTGGGTTTGGCCTGAAAAAAATCTGATGTTCAAACTTGTTCCCTCAAACTTGGAACAGGTGGGTGGGCATTTGAGAGTGCCGACCCTTAAGGTCAACGGAGCGCCTCTACCCACCCTTGAAGATTTCACAGAAAGAAATGGATTTCTATCAAGACACCCGAAACACAGGGTTTCTAAAATTAAGTCAACACAACACGATCTTCTTCGAAGAGCTAAGCCGTCTTACTTCGTTTGGTGTCTTGCACATCACTGAATAAAAGATTCTTTTAAGACAGGGGGATGCACGTCTCTCATCTCCCCCTCCTATTACGTGTAGCCCACTGTGGTTTTCAATGGACACCTCAAGCTTTCAAAGCTCAAGCGTGCACTTTGAGAAACATTTGCATCAGGACTCACGAGCGGGTGCGAGCAAAGTCTCGAAGGGTGATCAGCAATGTTGGTTTCTGTGGGAACACGATGAAACTTCATGATGGTCTCACCCCCATGGCCCCCTTCTTATGAGAAAAATCAGCAAATGATGCAAATCTAACGCTGTCATTGTCCCCAAACCAAGTCACCAAGTTGCAAGTAAGAAAATCGCCCCAATAGGACAATGCATGCACAGCTGCCACAAGTTCTAGCTCACAAATTGTGGTCTGTTTTCTCAGCAAGATCAAGGGCCCAAGCCTCCCCGAAACGGTCTTGGCTCGCTTGCGCGACCGGATTGGGCCAATTGTGGACCTTCTGTGCAGCCAGGATCTGCACCATGAGGTGGCAATGGATGCCACCCTAGTGTCAGTCCTGGATGAGTACAAAGAGTACAGGCCTGTAAAGCGATTGGGACATAGGATAACGGCGTTTCACCCTGTCTCACCTAGTTCATGGGGCGTGCATGTTTCAAGAACTCACAGACTACAGACTGCATACCTGCAATGCGCAAACGAAGCTCAGCATCTCGCTGTCAATGAACCACCATTTGGCTCCTTGTGATCTCCATGGTGGGTTTGCCTTTGTGTGACTCCCGTGGCCAAGCTGTTTTGGAGTCATCGTTGCAAACTCGATTAGCAGCTGTGCTTCCTCCCCCTCTTTGGGGGGGATTTGCTCAACTTTCAACTTCTAACAACACTGCATTCTCGGCTCCGCTGTCTCGTGCTTTCGACGATTTGAAGTCCTCGTCTGCCGCCTCAACTGTCCTGCAGTCCACTTCCGACAGTCCTGCAAGCTAGAATTCGCATGACGCTGATTTTGTGTGATTCCTTTGCTGTTGTCAAGTACCCTTGAAACCCTTGAAACTCCCATCTCTGCAGCACGGCACTTGACTGAAGTGACCTCAATTGAAGCATGGCACTTCGACTGTAGGAGTCCCCGCTCCAAAGTAACAAATGCTTTCGGCTGCTGCGGGTATGCTGAACAGCCATTTCCTATGGCGATGACAAAATGACGTGATGATGACGCACTGAGTGCAAAGGCTGAATTCATTGCCCCTTGTCTCACCTCTCTCATTTTGGCTGACATGGCCATCGAGTTACGAACCAGGTGCCTGGTTGTGTGTGGTGTTTGTTTGTTTTGGGGTTTGGTTTTGGGTTTTGTTGGTTGTGGGTTTCTTTGGGTTGGGTGTCTTTTGCTTTGCTACTTGGATCGTAACTCCCTCTTCACTAGCTTAAGGTGCGCAACCTCTGCACACATAGCGCCTCGACCCGTGCAAAAAAAAGAAGCGAACAGCACTCCGCAAAAACCCGCCGTCCCAATTGCACACAGCCAGGGACTACGATTGCGTTTGTGCACAACATCCTTGGAAGGCACCTTCTTTGATTCAGACCACGGAGGGAGGCAGTTTGACGATGTAGGCATTGTCCAAAAACAAATCCCGTCATCCGCTGGGATGTGGATGGCTCAGTAACCTCTTTGGAGCTGGCTTTCATGCTCAGCCCGGACGAAGCAGCTTCTGACCACTAGATTGAAACGTGTGCAGTCCTTGAGTGTCCCACATGGGGTCTTTCAGGATTTGGTGGGCACTCGGATGGACGAAGTCGAGTTCACACCCAAATGTGGCAATTTGGTTGACATTGGGTAGCATCTCCATCATTTTCCCGGACCTCAATTGGCAGATGAATCTCCTCACCTGCAAGAGTGATTGGCACAACCTGCAGGGCATCACCATCTTCAGAGCCGGCCGGCGTGCTGACTTGGGAGAGACTTTCAGTGGCCATGGGCGTTAGAAGGCGGCCGATCGCAATGCGGGGCGCTTCCCTTCCTTTTTGAGCCAGGCACCGTGCAGCTGCTTCATGTGGGGAGAGCGTGAGGCAATGGTCGTACACGAGACATTTGTCAACTAACTATCGAATCCCTTAAACAATCTTCGAAAAGTCTATTGTCTGGGCCTGGTGGGGAGGATGATGTGGGGCATAGAAGGCCTACTACACCTGAAGTGAAGCTTCCCAGCACGCCTCGACGTGAAGAACAACTACTAGACGATTTAGAAGCTCATGAGCCCAGATCGAAAGCAGCAAGGTCCCAACCAGAGAGTAGCCCATCAGCAGGCGTGTATCCTCCGCAGTATGCTGGGACATCAGCAGGATTTATGTCAACGGCGTGCACCACCCAGTGAATGATGAGGCTGGGAGGAAGAAGTGGAGTCCTAGAATGCTGAAGATGCTGCGGCGTGGCCAGCATGGACCTGGAGGATGACATTGATGAAGGACATCCACGGAGCCCAGAAGAACTCAAGATCATTGAGGAGGCAGCAGGCCAAGAAGAGATAGAACTCTTGCTGAAGATGAAGGTCTTGGAGGAGCCCACGGAGGAGGAGCTGGAAAATGGAAGCATCTGGACCACACGATCAGTGTATGACTGCTGGAAGAGGCGCTGCCGTTTTGTGGCAAGGGAGTTTCGAGGGGGTGATGCTTCCAGTTCAAAGACTTTTGCACCAGACAAAGTTGGTCCTGGTGGAACAACCTCCTTGGTGGAAGCCAGAAGAAACTAGACGACGGGTGGGTAGCTACTTTAGGTTGCTGCTTGAGCCAATGGCTTCCCCATGTGTTCGTTCGGAGCAGAGTTTGGCTTGTTCTGTGTGATATTCGAACTATACTAGCAGCACTCTTAGCTCAGATCTATCACACAGGACAGATGCTAAGGCACATATCCTGGCAATTGTTTGATCTGTGCGTATGTGATTTGCCTAGGAAAATATGTTGCCAATTTCCAGTGTCTAGGGTGGGCTTTTCGAGCTGGAGGAACAGGCCAAGGGAGGGTTATGATTCTTAGTCCCGTTCTTGTGCCACATGATGCCTGACAAGGAGACGATCTGGCCAGGACAGGTGCTAATGCACCCACCGTGGTTCTTGAGCTAACTACTTTGAGGTTAGGGGAATTCCGTGTGAAACTCCTCGTCAAAGGCGTCAGAGTCTGGTCCTTCTGAGGGCAGGAGCTCCACCCCAAGTGGCCTTTCGAAATTGTCACGCATCAGGAAAGCATTATGTTCTGCCTGTATGGTCTGGTCGATCTCCCCCCAGTCGAGAGGTGTGAAACGTCTTAATTGTTCGCACCCACAACAAGCCCGAATGCCTGTATCTTGAAGCTCGGTCGGAATGACCACTTCTCGGAGCGCTATGCAGTTAAGGAACACTTCTTTGCCGATTTGAGTCAGCCGTGGCGGCAGCCAAATGTCCGTCATGGCAACACACTGGGCAAAGGTGGCTTTGAGTAAGGCTGTGACTTCTGTGCACATGAGGTTGACTTCCACCAGCCGCTTGCAGTTTTCACAAGCCCGCGGGCCGATGTTGTGAAAGTCACTTGGGAGGCAGAGGTTTTCAATGCCAGCACCACAAAATACGCCGTCAGGCAGCGTTCTTGCCTTGTCGGTTGGTCCATTGCAAAGGTGATGGATGCGAGCGTGAGGCAGCTTTCGAAAGCATATCGGCCCAGCTGTGCCCCTGGGGCAAGGACATTGCTGTCTTCTGTTTCTTGGCCAAGACCAACCTTGCTGAGAGAGCAGCACTCCGCAAACACCCTTCGGCTGTACTGGACACAGCCCGGGGCCATAATATCCCTAAGGGCGTAGCAGCCTTGGAAAGCTCCATCTTCCAGGCTAAGGACTGAAGGGGGAGCTTGACAATCTGCAACTGTTGGCAACCCTGCCAGGCTGCAAAGCCTATATGCTTTATGCCTGCAGCAACTTCCACACGTTGGAGCATCGGTGCTGCATGGCTCTGTCGGCAATTTCTTTGCGCGGATTGACAGGGACGCGTATGGCTTTGGGGTAGCTCTCTCTGCCATCCCGGACTATGATTTGCAGCTTCTGTTGTTGTAGCAGCGCCGTGCGGAAGGATTCTGACAAGGGTAGTTGCGTATCAAGCTCTATAAGATCAACTTCGCAGCCAAAGACATCTATGTCGGAAACGGTTGGCAGGAAGCAGAGAATATCATCTTCCAATTGCGTTATATCCTCATAGTGGGTTAGATTGGCTTGCGTAGTATACTCATTGCCTGCCAGGGTCACCATTTGGGTGCTGACGGCATACTGATCTTGGTCAAGCGGCATCATCGCTGTGGGCGGCAGTCCGAGTATGCCTACTCAACTTACTTGAGCCAGAGGATTGTGTTAACACCAGGAGAGAGACAACAACCAACAAATAAAGAACACTGGCTAAGGCCATCACTTTCATGAGGGAAGTTGGGACAGTAGGGCGTTTCGCCTGCTTGTGGTTGCTGTTGCAGAGATTTGCCTTGCTGCCA